AATGGCATAATTTCAATTCACAAAACAGTTAACAGAAAAATAAAACAAATACATAGAATGCTAAATATATGTTCTTTAATAATATGCTTGTCTACAGGAGAGGGATATTGATTATTATGTGCAATAAAGATTATAAATTATTTTATTTGTGTGGGACATACATAGGATCCAAACAAATGAATAATTATTTTTGTTGCTTTTGGGCCAATTAGTCCCAACAAATGACAACTACTATTAATACAACTCTTTAAGAGAAACTTAACAACTATTGAGATTATGATCATTAATTTGATTTTTTCTTTGTACAGGTCTCCATGTAACCATAGACTGCAAGGACACAAATGGAGAGCGCAAAACAAGGGGAGTTGGAAAGCTTGATGATGAAGGAAAATTCAGAGTCTCTCTTCCTTCAAACATCTTAGAAAAGTATGGAAATTTGAAGGAAGAGTGCTTTGCACAGCTTCACAGTGCATCAGCTGCACCATGCCCAGCCCACAGTGGCAGCAGCGATCCTCAAAGATCGTCTTCAAGTCTAAAACCGCCAGAAAACACACATTTAGACCTGCTGGAATACTCAAATTCTCCCCGGCGACATGCACTTCGGCCTTCTTGTGGCATTTCTTCATGCACCCACGTCTCCTCCACCATTGATGAACTTTAGCCACCCTTTCCATTTTCATCCCAAGTTCTTCCACCCAATACACAAGCCGTTTTCACCGCCTGTTCCTGTTTATGTGAAACCGCTTCCACCTCCAATCCCGATATACAAAGAGCCACTTCCTCCACATGTGCCATTTTTCGAACCAAAACCGCCACTGTTCGAGCCTCATGTGCCAATTTATAAACCACCAGTGGTCGAGCCTCCTGTGATATATGTAAAGCCACTTCCTCCGCCTGTGCCAATTTACAAACCAAAACCACCAGTGTTCGAGCATCCTCCGATATATGAAAAGCCACTTCCTCCGCATGTGCCCACTTACAACCCAAAACCACCAATGTTTGTGTTCGAGCATCCTCCACTACAAAGAAATACATTTCTTCCGCTTGTTCCAATTTTCAAGCCAAAACCACCAATGCTCGAGCATCCTCCGATATTCACAAAGCCACTTCCTCCGCTTGTCCCAATCTACAAGCCAAAACCACCACTTGTTGAGCCTCCTTCCATTCCGAAGGTCTTCCCACCAATCTTCAAACATCCCCATCCATTCCCAAAGATCCACAAGATACCTTGTCCACTGTTTCCTAAGCTACCTCCCATCCCCAAGGCTCCACCAGTGCACTTCCCCCATCCCATGTTTGGAGCCATGCCTCCCTTACCTCCTCATTTTCCTCATCCTTAGACTACCATGTAGGGTTTTAGTTATTGGGTAATTGCTCTTTCATATAGTGAAGGGCTTGGCTTGAATTTTTAGTATTGTAATAAAGTTTACAAGGTAGAGAGAGATGGGAATTTGAAAAGAAAGTGACAGACATGGTGAGAAAAAAAAAAGGAGTAAGTAGATCATTGTTAAGGTGGATGTTTGTGAATGTTCTTCTTGTAGCAAGTAAAAATGTTCAAATGGATCTGCTTACCAGAACATATAATATTTGCATTTCTGTCATGTTTTCTCTATCGAAAGCATGAAATCCTTTTACTGTGATTGATTTGTCTTTGAGTTTTTAAATGTATGGATGTTCACTGTTTCTTTAAGACAATCAATTTTCCCTTTAAAATTCAGATTTTTTTGGGGAATTCCGATGTCAGAACAGAGCAAGGTACTAAACTAGCCAATTGAGAATCTCTTTCTATTTGCTCGGCTTTAGGGGGTTGACCTCTAGATCTCGAGTTTATCGTCCTGGGTGGGGTGAATCCAAAGGGCCATAAGATTGTCTCCTGGTTGTCATTCCTTCCTTTATCTAATGTTGATTAACGGCAATATATAGGAAAATCATCTCTAGAAAAGCAATCACTTTGCTTGGTTCTAATTTTTTTAAAAACATTTTTGAAAAAATTTTACTTTTTTATTTTCAGTGTTTTTTTAATATTTTAAGTTTTTTTACTTTTTAGACATACCTAATATAATATACCTAAAAAGTAGAAAATTTGTGAAAAAAAACCTTTTAAAATTCACTAAATACCAAAAATACAAAAAAAATACAAGAATTCAGTACATTTTTTTATATTTTTATGTATTTATTAATTTTTTTAAAATGTTTTTTTACAAATTTTTTACTTTTTAGATACATCTAAGTAAGGTGCATCTAAAAAAGTAAAAAAAATGTTTAAAATTTAAAAAATATTCACTAAAAACAAAAAAACATGAAAACCAAAATCTCAATTTTTAAAAAACTTAATCCAAAAAACTCAAACCAAACACACTGAATATTAGCCATTTCAAATTAAAAAGCAAACTTCAGTTATTGGGACATATCAGATGATCAACAAAAGCATTTTTGTTTTTTGGTAAGATGATGAAAGAACAAAACAGAACAACAATATCACTAAACAACAAGAAAACAATAATGCCACACAAAAATAATAAAAATAATAATAATAGCAAAATGCAATATTGGAAGCACTGCTATTGTGGTGGAGTGTGGATCCCATCCAAGATAAATGAGGGCCTTTCATTTTGAAAACAAATTACCAACAAGCATTTAATTACAAAATATCATTGTTACATTATTTGGTGGAGGGGACTTTGATCCTCTCCAATGATTATGAAATAAGAATGCAATTTTATTATTAGTTTAAATTAAAATAGATCAGTATATTCCCCTTTGGATGATATAATAGAATCTCTCCATTACAAATATGGAATGGAGAGGATTACAATTCTTGTGGAAGATTCTAAATTTAAAAAATAAAATACTATAAGGATAGTGTCATGTTTGTATATAAAAAATTTCTTTATCTCATTGTCATGTTTTCTCTTTATTGGATCAGCAAATAATCAGTTGTCATAGGAGGCATAATCAGCCATCAGCAGGGTCCATGCACTCTTCACCAATTTCTGCCTAATTTTGATTCACTCAACTGCTTATTTCTTCTTTGAAGTTATTATTCTTTATATTTCCTTTTTTCCCCCTTTGCAATTCATGTAATTAAGAACCATAAAATGTCATGTAAGTTATGTATATAGAGTACTGGTCAGACATTTACATTTCATATGCTTGGGCTCACAAATTCTGGTACATAAGCAGTCAAATACTATATGTAGCAGCTGATATTTAGAACCATATTTACCCTATAAAAGTACAATAAAATTAGCTATTAATGAAATGGAATGGAATTGTTTCTATTGACATACCAAAATGTGAATAATGATGAAAACCCAACAATCTTTGGAGCCAATGGTATATATTTTGAAAGAAAAATGATTGGTGGCCTGAATTTATGTGGCCCAAATGGTTCGAATGTGTCAAAACGACGTCGTTTTATACCCAAAACGACATCGTTTTGAGTGTTTCGAGCCATTCGAGCGATGAATTTTCAGGCCACCTAGCATTGTTGATTTTGAAATTTGAGGCGTAGTTCTTGTAAGTTTTTGGCTCAAGGAAAATAATTGTTGATCAATAAGTCTATGAATACAAGATGGGACGTAAAATGTATTTTGCAATAGTGGACTCCACTAACAAATCCAGTAAATTTTAATCTACTCATATATGTTTTTTGTGTCTAATTCTGGAGAAATTTTTTAGTGCAAATTGGGTAGGTGCCATGTGGTACCTTTCTCTTTTTTAATTGGTTGAGAGAGTGGGGGCTACATTTATGTGTTGGGTGATGGGAGACAACATGGGGAGGCCATGGTATTTGTGATTGATTGAAGGTACCACGTGGCATGCCACCTCGTACCCTATCTGCACCCAATAATTTTTCCTAATTCTGTGATTGATTTTTGTGTTCGCAGATATATTGTTAATGCAGCCTTTCACCTAAAAGAATGTACACTTTATTTCATGAGAGAGATTATATAGATATATTAATGAGAGTACTGGCTGGTTCATCTGCTCAGTTTGAATGCTCATTCAATAGCATGACATTGTTTGATCAACAGAGCTGGTGACCATTAATAGTATTATTTTTCTGCTCTGCACAACCCCATGCCATAACTAGTTGGGTCCCCAAACTTACCTTGAACCAGTAGTGCAGTGTTTGGAAGTCTCTTCAATCACCTCCTCATTCTATAAATAACTCAAAAACCATTCAATCAAATCACAGAAGGCTAGTATGGTTTCTCAACTTTTAAGCTGAAGTTTGGTTTCATCACCTGCTTCTCTCTCCTTGATATTGTTGGGTTCCTTCAAAGTGGGCAAAAGGGTCTCAATGTTGGCACTTTCTTTTTGTAGAGCGGTATTTTTGGGATTTTGGTTTTTTTTACTATTGGCTGTGACAACCTGCTATGGTGACAATGAGACAGCAGAGGTGATTGGAATTGTAGAATGTGCAGATTGCACACAGAAGAATTTCAGCCAGACCTTTTCAGGTACAACACTTTTCCGAGCACAAAAATGAATCACCAAGATATGAGTTACGCTTCTTGTGAATGTGATGTGATTCGTTTATGTGAAAGTATCTTTTTCATTTCAAGTACACAAATTTTTAGTAATGTCATACAAACAAACAAAAAAATTGGTATAAATTTATCATGTAAAATGAGATGGTCTCTTGTGCTCTTTTCATTTAAAATCAAAAGGCCTATCATTCTCGCTCACAATTCTAAAAATATCATTAACACTTCATTCTAAAAATGGCATGTAGAATAATAATATGGTCCCTTTGGGTGATGGCTTAGATCTTTATTTCTTCCATTATGATTGAATGCTAACCAGAGTTCTAGCAGGAAAAAATATATATATATATTCCACCTCATAAATAGGCTTGTTTGTGTTTTGTTTTTGTTTTCATTTTCTTCATTTTGATTTTCATGTATTCAAAAATAAAGCAAAGAAAAGTTTAAAACAACAATTCGTCTTTATTTTTGCCTGAAAACAATTTTTGAAAATTCAAAAATAACCTTTCTAGAATTTCCTAAAAGTCGTTTTCAGGAAGTTTTTCCAAAATTTGTTTTCAAAAAAAGTTGGTCATTTTTTTTATTTATTTGAGGAAACTAAAAACAAAAAATGAATGCAAAACAAATTTGATCAGCATTGTGCATTGCTCTGTGCAGGGCTTCATGTCACCATTGATTGCAAGTCTACAAATGGAAAGCTCAAAACAGCTGGGGTTAGTGAACTTGATGAAGAAGGAAAATTCACAGTATCTCTTCCTAATGGGATTGCAAAAAATGAAGAATTGAAAGAGGATTGCTTTGCACAGCTTCACAGCGCAACTGGTGCGCTATGTGCTCTCCACAACGATCAAGAGGCCTCAAATATAATCTTCAAGTCCGTAGCCAATGGGAAACAAACCTTTGGCCTATCTGGGAAGCTACAATTTTCTCCGATGACCTGTGTTTCAGCCTTCTTGTGGCCTTTTTTCAAGCACCCACCATTGCCCCATTTGCCTCATTGGCCAAAGTTGCCACATTGGCCAGGGATACCAATTGAATATCCTCCACCCCAACCAGAGGGCTCGCCACCAGCTCCTGTTTACAATAAGCCACTTTCTCCACCACCACCTCCTCCATCACCACCACCACCACCACCTTACATTTACAAATCTCCGCCTCCACCGTCTCCATCACCCCCTCCACCATATTATTACAAATCTCCTCCGCCACCTTCTCCCTCTCCTCCTCCGCCTTATTACTACATGTCACCACCACCACCATCGCCATCACCTCCACCACCCTACTATTTTAAGTCACCACCTCCACCATCTCCATCACCAACGCCACCATACTATTACAAATCGCCACCTCCACCATCTCCTTCTCCACCACCTCCTTATTACTACAAATCACCACCACCCCCAGTGAAGTCACCACCTCCTCCATACATCTACGAATCCCCACCTCCACCAGTGAAGTCACCACCACCACCACCACCCTACTATTACAAATCACCACCTCCACCTCCACCTCCATACTATTACAAATCGCCACCTCCACCACCTATGCCCATTTTTAAAAAGCCTTTTCCACCACCCGTTCCAGTATACAAAAAGCCACTTCCACCTCTTATACCAACATACAAACCAAGTCCCCCAATCAACAAGCCTACACCACCAATCCAAGAGAAACTTCCACCACCGCCAACGACACGTACGCCAATTCCTAAAGCTCCTCCAATCCCTAACCTTCCTCCTATCCCAACGAGACCTCGAAAGTATTACAACCAACCTCCCCAACCACATCAACAATTAATGCTTAGGAGTACTTTGCATTTTTCTTAGTTTATTTGGATATTGTTGAACTTTAAGCTTCAATAAAATATGTTGAATGATTTAGCAATGCTATTCTGTATTGAAGATTGAAGAGAAATGAACAAGAAAAATACATGGGTGGGTTTGGTTATTCTTAATTGCAAAATAAATTGAACATGAGAATGCACATAAGTTGTTCTTGGCATGTCTTCATATCCAAATTGTTGTTGATGTTTGGAGGGATTGAGTTTTGATGTTGTAACCGAGTGTGCAATTATGTATTATCAATCAAAATTTTGCTACCTTTTATTTTATTTTCCAAAAAAAATTAGTTCCTAGTAACCATTTTTTGGATTTTTCCTAGATGTATTACTCTAAACAAGCTCAATTTGATTTAAATAACGTTAACCTTTTGGTTCTCCAAACATTTT